TCAGAATCTAACTTGGTTTCAAGAATATTTGGAGAAGACCCAAAGAGGAGCAATAAAAATGAAACATGAGCTAGAAAATAAGCCCTTCTGAGAGAAGGAATGAAGATCTTGAAAACTGGATTTTAGATGACTTGTAAGGGAGTTTCACCTTTATAAGAGACGGGGTGGGGTTTGAGTCCTGTAGGCTAAGCCTGAATCAAGAAGGCAAAGCAGTCTTAGTTTTTTCTCAAAAGAAGGCAAGAGAGCACAGCTTTTTCTTTTACTGGGTATCTCTAGCAGGCTTCAGGAAGGCAAGAGTAAGATTTGGACTCTTGGAAGCACAGAGCCTGGTGAAATGCTGGGCTCCCAATGACTCTCAACAAAGCTCTAATGAATAAAATGAGAACCTCTGGGCTAGACTCTCCTCACTTCACTGACTCACAGTGCTACCTGTTGCCCCACACAGAAACATTGTAAAACATGTATACAACACATGACAGCGTCTATCTGTAATTGTGTGAGGTTTAGTTTAAAAACAAAACACAACGTTTGAAAGTCATAATGCCAAATGCTATTATTGAGGGTACTGAGGAATATGTGGAACAGATAGCTGAGACCGACCGTGAGGCAACATAATTAGTATTATCTGTCAAGATGCCTGAAAATGATTTTCATTCTAAATCAGTGCTATAAAAATAATAATAAGTACAGATAAAAACGTTTCCTATATGTTGTAGTGTTATATTTGATAATAAAAATCTGGAGCCTGTGGAAAGGCCCATGTAGAAAAGAAATGCCTATAGGATAAACCATTCAGCAGGAGCAAACAAAAGGTAGGAATCATGCTGTTATGAATATTAACAGCTTTGCTCATATTTAGGACTATTTCCAAGGGAACTAACTGGTAAAGTCCAGAGAACCTGGAAGCCTCCAAAAAATCTTTTATGCATATTCCAAGTCATCGTATAAATTGGGAATTCCTACTTGCTGACAATTATTATTTATAGAAACACCAAATGCAAATTAGGATAGTTCCAATTATTTTTTTTTCTTTAAGACATGTTCATTTCTGTTTGTTTGTAAATAATTTCCTTACATTGACATTTCTTTCCTGGCAAGCAAGTGCAAGTGTTTTTTTTTCTAACTTTTTGATTATTTTTTTACTTATTAATGGAGGACCAGGTAATGCTGTTTTGTTTTGTTTTGGGGGCATTTTTTGGTACTGGGGATCAAACTCAGGACTTTGAGCTTGCGAGGCAGACGTAGTGCCACTGAGCTAAATTCTTGGCCCAACCAGGAAATTTTTTTTTTAATTATATTGGTACATTTTAGGTATACAATATAATGACATTCATCATTGGAAATTTGCACCTTTACATAATCCATCTTGGTTTTTATTTTTTTCCCATTCCCCTGCCCTCTCTTCAACCCCTCTACCCCTCCGTATCTACAAAGACTTTTTTTCCATTTTTCCTTTTTCTCATATTATTTCCATTCCCTTCTTTCTTTTCCCCTACCCCTTCCATTTCCCCTTCTCCCAGCTATTTCTCTGCTGGGTATCTTCCCCAAAGAATTAAAAGAATCATACCACAGTGATATATGTGCACCCATGTTCATAGCACAATTCGTGGTAGCTAAAACTTGGAAACAACCCAATTGCCCGTCAACTGCAGACTGGATAAAGAAAATGTGGTTTTTTTTATAAAATGGAGTATTACTCAGCCATAAAGAATGAGAAACTAGAGACATTTATAGCTAAATGGATGCACATTAAGCCAACCAGGTAATGTTTTGATCATATATACATAGTGTAATGTTTAAATCAGGGTAAACATATCTCCCTCTTTGAACATTTATCACTTCTTTATGCTGAAAACTTTTAAAATTATTTCCTGGAGATTTTAAAAATACACAGTATATTATTGTTATCTATAGTCACCCTACTATATAATAGCACCCGCAGAACTTCTCGCTCCTATCTAACTGTAATGCAGAAATGGACAGAATTCAAAACAAAATAAAACACAGCAAGGCCCTGGGTCATCCCTGAGCCTATGCTACCACTGAGTGTACAGCCAAGCTTCCCTGGAGGGCCCCTGCCAGCTTGGCCCTCAGGAATCCCACACCAAGCCCAGAGTGAGGCTCTGACTGTGCCCAGCAGGTATCTGACCAACACACTCACTGGGTCTGTTCCCTCTGGAGTCTCACCTAGAATATGCTGGAACAATAAAATCAAGCTCAGGCCCGGAACACGCCCGCTCCCCCCCCCCGCCATTTTCCATATAAAATGGCTCTGCCTTTTCCCATGCTGATTCTGCAAGGCAGCTTATTTTCAAATCCGTATAAATAGCTGCAACCACACTCCAGTCCCATTGAAAAACCAAAATGGCATCATGTGAGAGAAGCATCCTAGCATACTTGGCCCAGTGAGTGAAATGTAAGTGGAGCTGGGCCAAGCTACTTGACACTCACTAGTCAGCTTACTCAGATGCCCTCCAGTTTCCTGCAGTGAAGCCACCAGTTCTGCCCCTTAGAGCCAGAGAATTCACTTACATGGACTGCCCAGGGCCTGAGTAGTGATTTGAAGCCAAAGCTTGGGAAATATACTTCAAGTCAAGCTGAAGGTTTATAATCTCATGGATTCAAAGGGGAGTCATGTTGCTTAAGAGTGGAAGCAAGTTTTCTAATGCAGCTACTTAAAATTTTCTAATGCAGCTAAGACTTCTTTCATACAAGTCCAGTGAATTTTTAAATGTTTTTCTCCAATTTTTTTGCCAAATGGCCAGAATTACAGGGGTTTAAATCTCAGGAAGAAAGCAGAAAGAAAAAAATGCACTTTAACTTTTGTAACAGAATGTATTGGCTTTTAAAATATTCATTAAAGTTATCCACTACTATTTGAGACATATATAAATGGAATATTGGGTATCTTGGTTTTTCTTTACAGCATTTGTATACTCAAATATGGAACTGCTATGCTGTCCAGTCTCGCTTACAAGGCCACCTGAACAGCTGAGCATGACAGCACAAGTCCATGCTTATAAAGCCACCTATTTAAATAGCCACATGCTCAGGCAAGTCTGTGTAGTCAGATCTGCCAATGTACCTGCCTGATAGTCACTTGTGACCTCACTGGCAAATCCCTCTCCTCCTTAACACCTTGTTCCTTACCAATTAACAAGCATTTTATTTTCAAGGAATCGTGTCATTAAACTAAAACTACCTAAAGTATCCCAAAATAGGAAGTTTCAAAGAAACTTTTCTTGAGGAAAGAGTGAGTTATGAACTTATAATAGTTTATACAGTGCATCCAAGGATAATTCATAAGGTGACTGATGCTACTGTATTTCCTTTTGAGAATTCAAATGTTGAGATTCTTGACAATCTGATCAGTAATTTAAATATTAGTCTGCCTGTTATAAAAAGAAAACATTCATATATGTCTTTACCCAAATCTACGTTGTATACTAAACTAAATGGAATGCTGATGCTTTTTCTTTCATTGCATTGTATTCACATGTGGGAATGTTTACATTTGACTCAAAGAATAAACATCATGAACATATCTGCTGCCTGCCTTCCTACCAGCTTTCTAATTATGATCAATTCATCTTTTTTAAATATATATTTGGAATATATACTGAATACATTCATCACGAGGAACTGGTACATATACATACTGTATTTTTATCTGTTTTACTTCCTCTTCCCTCCCCTCCTTCTTTGTTCCCCTCTCCTCAGGTCCCCTTCCCATCTCCAAAATGTTTATTGCTCTGTTTCTGATCATCTTTTATTTTGCTTTCAGGTTCTTATGTTTAAAAATTACACAATATTTAACCTTCTGTATCTGATTTATTTCACTTAGTGTTATGATCTCCGAATGTATCCATTTTCCTACAAATGGCTTTATGATGGAGTACTATTCCATCCATTTATCTGTTGATGGATGATTTTTTAAAAATTCTAGTTATATTCATAGAATAAAACAAAGGTAAAACAGCAAAGGAAAACTTTGGTAAATTTACCTTAAAATGAAATGAACATCAAGCTTTCAAAATACAATTATAAGGCACTTTTTCTTTAATTTTTACTCTGTAGGATATATACAGTAAATATCTAATAGCTAAATTATTTTATTTTAATTTATCATGAAGCATAGTAAATACACAAATAAATACGATGAGTATCAGTTTTTTGTCTCTGAACATATACTGTGTCTTGTGTTTTAAAGTTCATATTTTAAAGTCTAACAATGATTATGTCTACTTTAAACAGAAGGGGAGAAATGGAAACCCAGCTGGCCCATGAGTGGAGGTCAGCCAACTTCCCACTGGTTCACAATCTATAAAATTCCAGCAAAATCAAATAGGAACAGGCCGGGGATTTAGCTCAGTGGTTCCACTGCCTGCCTCACAAGTGCAAGGTTCTGAGTTCGATCCCTGGTACCAAATCAAAAACAAATCAAATGGGAATGAGCTCCACAGGAGGATCTCCATAATCCAGTGCAAGGAGACAAGCCAGCCTGGGATAGGAATGAAAGAATTTGTTACTTTATTTAGCCTGCTTTAAAAAAAAATCAGTCCTCAGTTGAGTGTTTCTGAGATTTTCCTTGCCTCTTTGTAGGAACTGGAGGAAAAAAAGTATTTCCAGGTTGCCTCTCCTCCCTAATCCAATCTCTGAAACTACATTTTAAACCTAAGCATAAAATTTTTCTGCACGGTTGTAATGAAGTATCTGATTATTAAACCAACTTTATTTAAGTGTCAAAAATGTATTTAATTACCATTCTCTAAAGATCATGCCTCTATAGGTAAAATTTGCATTTACACCAGAGAACAAAGACCAGACTGTAAAAAGTTTTATAAACAGCAAGTATATAAATGGCATGTGTCCTTACAGCATTCACATGGCAATGGCACTGTTAGGAAGCTTTTTCATTTTTTAAACAAATTTGCAATCTCCCTATAAAATAGCTTTTGTGGTATTATTAAAATGTAAAGAAAAATTATTATTTTACTTACACAGTATCTCTAATAAGAAGTGCATTTCCCAGCTTGAAACAGGCTTTATCACCTTCACAAAATGCATGTCTCAGAGAAAAGCTCTCTCCTAAATCAAAACCTGTAAAATGTGACACATTATTTAATCCAGTAGTTTTATTGATTTTAATAAACTTTTAGAAATACTGATTTTTAAAACTAGATTTTTGTTGTGCTTATTTATAAATTTATAGATGAATATTTCAAATAAAATCCTGAAGTTTGAGCAAAATTCCTTGACTTTATTTTTCTCCTTCTAGAGTAGAAGATGAAATTCACTTTGCATACAGAATGTGAAGAAAAGTTCACAAATACCTTTCAAAGGACTCAAACACTAATTGTTTTTTTACCTAGGACAGTGGTGGGAACCTATGGCTCCTGTGCCACAGCAGGCATGCAGAGGATTCTCTGTGATGATGTCACGAATTGTATGAGTTGTTTTTCCTAAATTAAAACCTCAGTATTTAGGTTTAATTACAGCATAAGCACTGCGATCGATAATTGGGTTGGGGGTTGCTGTTTGCGCACTCATCTGTAAAAGGTTCGCCATCGCTGATCTAGGGATTATCCTAAGTACATAATTACAATAGTTTGTTGTAGCATCTCTGAAGAGTAAATCAAAATTAGACAAAAATAGTACAGATATTCATTTGAAATTTAAACAGAGATCATGGTTTCAGAGAATTTATATTGATGACAAAAGCTTGAAAGTTAAATGCAATATATATGTTATCTGTGTGTGTGTGTGTGTGTGTGAGAGAGAGAGAGAGAGAGAGAGAGGAGGGGAGGATGGGGAGGGGAGGGGAAGGGAGGGGAAGGGATGGGGGAGGGCAGGGCTGGGCAGGGCAGGGCAGGGAGAAGGAGAAAGAAGGAACCTATGATACTTGTGACAATATATGGGTACTAAAGTCTTCTTTCTCATAGATTTGCTTTTATCAAAATTTCTACAGCATCTGCAACTTTTATCATTTTAAGAAACTTTGTCCTCCAATGGGTTCAGGTGTTGCTGATCTTAGATTAAACTATGCAGAATTCTGCTTTTCGGCAATTTTAAGTACTTATTTTTAACATTTTTATATCAATGTTATGATCTTAAATTGCAAGGCCAAAGAATCACCCCAGTGTATTACATATCTGGTGAAAATTTTCCAAAAATACTTCTTTACAAAGGGTTATAAGGCTTACCTGAAACTTCAAGTTTATTTCTGTTGTCTTGTATAAACTGTCTTCCCTCTGTTGTCAGTATAGGACATAATTTTTCTATAAAAAAAAGTATAAGTTATTTGCATTATATTTTCCATTTTGTTTTTGTTTTTGTCATAGGGGTTGAACCTATGGCATTCACACTAAGCCAATCATCAGCTCTTTTTAGTTTTTCTTTTGAGACAAGGCCTCACTAAATTGCCTTGATCTTGTGATCCTCCTCCCTCTACCTCCCAGAGTGTTATGATTTTGGGCCAAGATTCCATTAAATTTTTAAAATAGATTTAAATGCCACAATACAATCAGAACAAGATAAAAATAAAAATAAACTGAACCATTTTACTGAATTTCCATAAAATGAGGATTAGGATATTACCCTCCCCTAAGTGTGTGCGTGGATTTCATTTGATTTTTCACTTATGGTATTTATAAGACTGGTATACAGTGAGTACTTGTTAGTGTTAGCTATTATTATTATTACCATTATTCTAGCCCTCTATTTCTACATATTTGACACTAAGAAATTAGTTAACTTTAACATCATAAATTTTCCTATTCAAAATATACTTTAATAGTTAAACAACTAAATATTATCTTTTACTATCATTTTGATTCAGGTTTGGTATCAGGTAATATTAAACTTAG